GAGAACCGCCATTAAGTGAAAAAGGGGAAATAATTGTATCAAGAATTGAAGAACTACACCGAGACATTCAACCAGAGTTTAGACAACAAGCGTTTGAAATATTGAGTTCAGTAAAGGAAAGACAACCGGTTTTTTGCTAGTAATTGGACTGAAATGAGCATTATACAAGTAATTACGGCAACAGAGTTTGAAGAATTTGTCATCTATCAAGGCTGCGTAAGAATGCAAAAGGCGATGTAAACATACCAATAACAGACCAAATCGCCCAAATGTATGGAGACTTAGTTTATTAGAAATATATCGCCAAACCTCAATAAATATTAGGGGCAACTACCAAAAAGATGGCAAAACCTCCAAGTAGAGCATCGGGAAGTGGCGAAAGTTTATAATAATAGCAGACGTATATTTAACGATGAGATTAACAAAAAACATACTGAAAAGAAAGAAACAGAAGTTCAATGATAAATATGATGATGACGACAGTCTTTCAATGCATGACCTAACGAAACCAAAGCCACCACCAAGACAACCGCAGAAAATGCTCGAAAAGGGCATACCAAGAGAATTTGTTGATACAACAACCAACACAGAAACTATTGCTACAGAAACCAGAGAGACTCAAGAAAGGTGAAGCGTTTAGGGTAAAAGAAAACCATCAGAATATGGTTAAAGTAATGCTTAAAAACTTTTGGCACGACGCGCAAAAGAAATGAACCAACAAGAACACAGGCAACACAAACACTGAAAAACCAACGAGATGCAATGGTGTCAGCCCTTACTACAATGCTTGACAACAATAGACCGCCAGAACCTCCGCCAAAGAAACCACCAGACGTGGAGGACAGCGACGAAGAAGAAAAACGATACACACTGACAAAAAGGATAGAGATAATGTTACTCAACGGCGCTACAGTAGCAGATATAATATTGAACTTATCGCACAGCGCAATTGCAACAACTATACATATTGCAGATTTAGTCAATCAGATAACGGCAGGAAACGCACAACGTAGCAGTAGTCTTCTAATGAAGTTCTTAGTGTTCATTCATCGCCACCTATTACAGCTAATAGTTTTTCATCTGAGAGCCCAACAGAAGTACCAGCGCCAACTGAAGACGAAGAAGAAAATCAAAATTTGAGTTTTAAAAATTAAAACCTAAATATTATTATCTATAACGGGTGCTTTTCAAAGTAAAAATTACGAAAATACGAGTATGGAAGACATTAAGAATTTAAGTACAGACAAAAGAACAAGAGCAGATACTTCAATAACAAAGTCTATTCAGGAATGTGTGGCGCGAATAGACAAATTAGACAGAGGAGAATCTGACAAATTGATATATATACTACCTGCTTTACAATTTTGCAATGCTTCATTCATTTAAATTAACTATTTTCATAAAACATGTGAATATTATCAATTTGTATCATCATCTAAAACTATATCTTTAGGCATAGCTGTTGAAGCAGTGCTAATTATTTCAATATCTTCAATAAATCCTTCACTACAAAATGGATTTGGTGAATTCTTAATAACTCGTTGTCTGTTGGTCGTTGTTTCAATACTTTTTAAAGCTTATGTGTCCAAGAATTGCAATGAAGTTTATATTCTCTCTCCTGAGTTATAAACACCACTGCATTTACAAAGTGTCAATACCATATTATTATATTAATTTAGAATTTCTTTATTCGTTGGTTGTAATTTGAAATGCCTGTTCAAAATTGATATGAAACATGTTGTTAATGTCTTTAGCATTCATATTCACGCAGAAAAATATGGAGCAAAATTAACAGCTTGATGACACTATCTAGCAGTTGCTGTTTATCAACAATGGCGGATTTTTTCTTCAATAAATCCAGCTAATTCACTGGCATTTACAACCCAAAATATATCATGGCCTGGCATTTAAACGAATGATAGGTGCTAAAACCTTATGTTTTTGCGTTGAACAAATCACACTTACTGCATTGTGCCTACCTCTTGCAAAAGGCGATTAATATTGAATGTAGTTTCTTTATCTTTTTAGATTTCATATAATCAATAATTTTCTTTTGTCTTGCAGTTACAGTTTCTAAATCAGTTGGATTGTAATTGTCGAACTAAATTTGCTCTTTTTCATCACCCACGTGCAATTCATCGCGGACAGTCTTACCGCCTGTTGAAGAAGCGACTATAGTACTTCTACTTGGTAATTTTGGCGCGTGCTCGTATTTAGGTTGCTTGAATTCATAATCGGTTATGTGCTTTGGTTCTATTATTGGAACTTGAGTCATGTTTGATATTGAAGGTATTTAGCAAATTTGTTATATTAGTAATTGTATGAACTATCGTTTATGATATAGGGATATCATAAATGGAACAGATGTTCCTTACTTCAAACAATAAGCATTGGAGATAATTAGTTTGAACCCCGCTTGTGTGTTACCCAGTGCGAAGAGCTTTCTTCTAAATAATACGACTAATGTATTTTATCTTGTTGTTTATCATGAATAGGAGTTGTTCAGATTATATTGATTGATGTTATTAATCAAGTAGAAGAAATAGAACGAGTAAAGATAACTGATAATAAACTTAAAAGATGCTGTTATTATTCGTTAGAAATAATTAAAATAGGAGTACGATATATCAAAAGTAAAAATGTAAATGTTCATATAAAGGCCAAGAAAGAAAAAGAGTAAACCACAATCATTATCAGATGCTGAAAGACCAATGCCGCAAATTCAAGAACGGAAAGAAACAATAGACTGCGTTAAAACCATAGGTGTAAGTAAAGAAACAACATGTGATACATGTAATCATAATATGAACTTTCAACATGAGTTAATAGTAGACAAGAAAGGTGGTATTAACATGAAATGTATTCCGATTATGTTTTCAGTGAAGAAGAAAGACCAAGAAATGAGGGTATCAAAGAAGAAAGACGGAGATATGACAATAGAAACAAACTAACATTTAGTAAATGTTAGTTTTAATAAAACGAAAACATAAAAATGTTTGTATTGTTATTTAATGATTTTGAATCATAGTACAGAATTTGTTGATGTATATACGTTGCGTTACAATGACTTATGAAATATGAAAAGTGAAATATGATATTTTACAAAATACAAAGTTAAGTTCTATTTTTCTATATTAGTATATCATGGACAACGATTTAAACGTATTGTTTGATAAATTTGATATGGCGATGATACAAATAAGAGCATATTAGAAATCCTAAGTGCAATGGAAAAGAAACCAGCTTCAAGATTCATTGACAAAAACAGCACTGAATATAAAAAAATGAACAGTTGTATCTAAATAAGCTAAATAATGAAGAGATAAAGAGCCGACGCCCTCCACTATGGCATTTTATCAAGTTGACTATGATGAAGATACAGGGGTGTATTCTTGAAGGGGTTAAAGGGTCGATACCCTATTGACTAATGACCGACTCAGTAGAATCTAATCACACAAAATGCAACATAACCAAGAAGGTAGAAGAGTTCGGATTTAAACAGACAACAGCCTGTGTCAAAACTGCACAGAATGTAGAACGAAAAGAAAGGAGCAAAAAGCAAAACAACAGAAACCAAGCCCAGAACACGAGAAGAAAGTTATCAATCTAAAGCAATTACAGCAAGACATTTCAACTTACACTGTAGACAATTCGTTATATGATGATTGTATGATCAGCCAACACACAAAGAATGATACTATACTAAAATTGCGAAAGCACAATCAGCAAAACAAGAAGAAACACAACAACATCTCGCACTTGAAATGCACAAATTGAAACCTTTAATACCTTAATTTTCCTATAATCACACCATGTAAGACTTCATATGTTGTTATTAGAATGTTACAAATATTTGTGTGACCATATTTCTCTGAAAAAGCATTTAAAAAATATTGCCTTAACTTACTAGATGATGAGTGACACAGAAAATGATGTTAGGGCTACAGAAAGTGAATGCTATGAGTCTGGAATGATATCATCAATGTTAATCAAGAAATATATGAGTTGTAAGTGTAGAGATTGTTCTTTGTTGACATCAACAATTAAACAAGGGTTTTCAGATGGTGTTTCAAGTAATATTTGTGAATATGTAACATGTGATAAATGTTCAACAGTAGTTCATGCTATTCAAAATCATAGTTCTAAGTGGGAGTGTAGCACCGTGAATATTAGTAAAAACACACTGGATGAAGATTTGAAGATATTTGTATTTATTGAAATGACAATTCTTGACTGTAGAAGAGTTTGATAATCTATTATATACCGGTGATGATGATGGAAATGACAATGTTGTTTTTTAAGTACGATGGTATTGTAAAACGATTATATGGTATTTCTTCTAATACATGGAATGATAATGACTTTGATTTTCTACAATGCACATATAATTTAAGTGAGCTTGAATATACAGTAAAAAGAGCAGTTAGAACAATGAGATGGTTTAAACATTAATAATATTTACAATGATAAAACAAGCAACAAAATAATAGGAAGGATTAAACATAATTTTATTTATAATATGTAATTATATTATTGGTTTTTGCCATGGTTATAACTTATAAGAATTTGTATGTTGTAGTTATAGTATACCTTTATTATATAAGCCGTGGTGGTGACTATCTACCTAAGCCTTGTTCATCCGCATATTGCTCCATATTTACTTAAATTGTTGACATGATTTGAGTTAGCCCTTATGTTTTCCTTTTTCCATTGGTGAACCACTTTTCGAGGAGTCATAATTGATTGAAATAGGGCTGTTTGGGGACGTATTTGAATTGTGCCAAAAGTGTGGGGGGGGGGACCTCATGGCTGGATGGCAAATTGCCGATGAACAAGGTCACCTCTAACTCTTAGTTGGTTGCGTGGCGGGGTTTCTATGTAACCCGCAAGTTTTCAACCTTAGCAGGTCTGAAAACGGACAGCCCCACGAAAAAGAAGGAAAACACGCACACCCATCTTCACCCGTGCCCATGGGCCAAAAGCTCTCGAAAGAGCCTCAGGCGAGCATGAGCCGGACTGCAAACCGGAGGAGCGGCAGCAGCAGTGGTACGACTGGGAGGGCCAGGACGCGGGGACCTTCATCTGCAAGCGGCGGCTTGGTGTGGCGTGATGGTGCCATGAAGGCGTTGTGGGGTTCTGGGGGTTTGCCCGTTGGTCGGTTTTCGGACCAAAAGAGGAAGCCCAAAGGTTTTTTGTTTTGCTTTTACCAGTCGGTTTTCACGGACCCCCGCAACAAAAGGAACAAATATCCCCCCAAAATCAGGGGGGAAAACCAACCAAACAAGCAAGTGGATGAAAGTATCTCCTGTCCAATGGAAGTGGAGGTTTTGGGGCTGGAAGTTTCCCAACAACCAGAAGATGTTGAAGCTTGCCAGCGGGCTTTGGCTATGTTTGGGCGTGGATCCTTGCTTCAGTTGGAACACTGACTGAATTGAGGTTTTTCAAGGGTTGGGGGACAAACCCAGATGGCCAACGGCTGAAATCTAGGGTGGCGTTTTCAAAGGCATCCACCACAACAGGGATGTTTCATGCCGAGGAATGCGATGCTACCGATCGCCCTGCTGCGCAATGTCTCTGCAAGGACGGAATCAGAACATGAATCCAGTGCCCTCTGTGCCTCCCAAAGTGCTCAAGTACAATTTGGGAAGACCTGTAACCCCAAAGCCCACTTGCAGCACTTGGGCAATCATGAAGCAGAACAGTCGCTGTTCAAAGTCCGTGAAACAGACATGAGTGGTTGTTTTATGTGGGTACCTGTTGACCCTTTAAAGGGAATCTCCATTTGTGGGTCCCCCTATTTTGACACATACATGAGCGTTCTGCGGCGGGCCAGCTTCATGAGGATGGCTCTTGTGACTCTGGTGTTCTTGTCGCTTCCATTATCTTCAAATCGGCTTCTTTTTCGCAGCTCCTGAGTTGCCCGGTAAACATGAGTGAGCGTACTCACCAGAGGCACCAGAGCATCAAACGTAAAACAATGCCAGCAGTACACTTCGGCCAGGGGGGGGGGGGGGCGGGGGGTGGAGCTTCAATTATGGGAACACCCTCAAACATACTTGATGGGCATGAATGATCATGTAAATGATGTACACCAAGGATTTCCAATGAAAACCCATTCCCAAATCAGACATTTTGTTTGTGGTGGAGTTCCCAAGATTACGCATGCGAGAGCCTGTTGCCAATACTTGGCGTTCTGATGTGGGTTAATGTGATCAACGATCGCTCGGAGAGAGCAAGGATGACCTCGAAATATAGGTTGAGCACAAAGCATATTGAACAATTCGTGATTAACGTTCTGCGTTTGTGTGGCAACTTTGCTGTCATGAACACGTGCACACGCGGCATATTGACTCTATGACATCCGTTCATGTGCCGTACGGTATACTGACAGCTATTTCTTCAACACATGGACGTATTCATGTTTTGTATACACATCTTGATTGCGATCCCCGCGTGCGGAGGATTCTCATTTTTTGGGGTGTTACAGATCATGGTAGGCCAGGGCCATGCCATCAACCAGGCCATGACTGCGTCCCACGCCCCACGACAGGACCTTGGCGCAGCAGCCCTGGGCTGAGCTCTTGCCAGCGCTGGTCCTCGCCGAGCGCCCGGCGAAAGCCGGCGATGTGAACGCCACCCCAGCGCTGAAGGCTTCGCGCGCGCGGTGGATCCGCTATGGAAGACCGGGTTGGTCTAGGGGTTCTTATAACTTGGCCCAGACCGAAGGTGAAAGCTTTTCGACAGCTGATTTTGGGAGTCGAAGTTTGGACTGTTTCAGTGGCTTAAGCATAGCCGTTTGGAACCTTTTAGAGTGCGTTTGCTTTTTGGAGCAATGTTTCAAGGGGGACATGAACGGATATGGTTATGAATTTTCGTGGTTGCAAACCCGGGCACACGTCCCCAAAGAAAGGGGGAGGGGTCGCAACTAGAAGACAAACTCGCATGCCGCCTTTGGCGGATGATGCCTTTGGAGGTTTCCACTACCCCAAACCACTACCCCAGGGGTTTAACGGGATATGCAACCACTACCTAGCCACTATACAAAGGGTATTTCTTGGAATTGAACACTGTGAGAGGAATTTCATTTTCGCGAAGTCAGTGTTCAGCTTTCTTGTTCTTCCGGAATGCCGTTGACGTGACCCCTAAAGTCTGTCTACGCATAGGTTTGTTCCGAGAAACTGATGCCCATGAGTTTGCCTGCTTGTGCTGTTCGTTTGCCAGCGTTTTTGGATATGCCTTTTCTGGGGGATTGGGGCACCTGTTCACCGTGCTTTTGGAAACATCACGCATGTGCATGGTTCATTCTGGCACTGGCATGAAAATATCAGGGATTGCGTTGAACACCTTCCATGCGATGACCCATGCCGAGATGAACCACGCAGACCACATCTCGATTCAGCTGCTGATATGCTATCCACCAAAACAAGCCCTTATACTTCTTTGGGCGTGTCTTAAAATCGGCGACCCCCAAACTGAGCGATTTCCTTTGGGTTTCCCTCTAAACCAACCCCAAAAGGGAGACAAAACCTAAAATTTTGCCCTATCGGCTGGAAGGTCTCCCCATCAACTCGCAGGCCACCTTCACATGTTGCAAGTCGACCTGGCCAGGTGGACGAGCTCGCGAAGCCCGAAGCGGGCGAGCCGGCTGCGGCTCGGCCTTTGGCGGGAGTGAGGAGGATGTGCAACGTTTGGGATAGGCCCCAGGCGACTTTTGAGCTTTGGGAAGATGAGCGTCCCCTAGAAAGTGGCAAGAAAGATCCAACAAGTAGCTTGTTGCAGTTTGACCAACCCAGCGGGAATTGGTCGAAAACAACATCTTCCAGCCTTGTCAAAAGGTTACCTGGCTGGCTTGCCTTTTGCCCAATTCGACTGCTGAACTCGGCTTTGGACGCCCTTGCCATGAGTCTGATTGGAGTTCACCCAGTGGCCCCCCAAAAGTCTGAGCACTCTTCGCTGTGAAACATGACTTGACAGAAACGATCTCCTGTGCTTTGCACTGCCCGTTGGCCTCTTTGGCCTGGCCGCGCTTGTGACTTGATGTCCTCATTCTGAGTGGGCAGGCAGGGTGTGATTCCAAGTCGCCCTTCACGCCTTTTGGACCCACCCGAAGGCCCAGACGGATTGACCCAGGCTGTGACGCCATTTTGAAACGTTTTGCTGGGGGGGACGGTGGTCCCATGGAAGAGGTCTTCCTCTTGGAGCAACCTTGGGGCGCTGGTCAACCGTTATGGATGAGGCCAATACCCAAAAAGAACCTTGGGGGCAGCACCCTACTTCGATGGTCTGGGACTTACTGTAGCTAAATGGTTAGTATTCCCAGTTGGAGGGGACTTACAACAATTGCATGCGGGTTCCAACCAGGGGTACTAACCGCTTAGCTAGCTGACAGACCATCTAAGTCCATCTCGTCGAATCCTTCGTCGCTGACGCGCTATCCAGGCCAAGGGTGCTGCGCCGGAGCCGCGGCTGGTGGCGCCGAAGGCGAGGTCGAAGGAAGGAGGGAGGGGGGTGGTTGGTTGGTCTTCTCGAAACTGCTCTGGCTGTGGGTCAAAACCAATGGTACCATTTTGGGGTAGGTGCACCACCCATTTTGGAACCTGTTTTAGTGGGGATTGGGATGTTCACTGGGGGTACGGGCTTTTGACCCACAGCCCTCTGGCTGCGGGTGCTTGTTTTGCTCGAAAAGAGTATGAGAGCAGGTGAGCGTACGCAAGCTGACCTCTTGATTGATATCTAACAAAGCGGATCTGAGCCAACCGCTTGCTGAAATTATGTTAGCGCCCGTTCTGCGACCAATTCAACGGGGGTGTCATGTCAGTGTCATGTACTCCTTGCCATTCCCAGGGACTGCGGATCAAAGTTTTTGTTCTTGGCCCCCGGCCCTGGGATCCCAGGTAAATGTTGTCCATCCAAGGGTCCCCCCCCCCTGCAAAAAAAGAAGAAGAAAAGAACAACAAAACAAAGAAAGAGCCCCCCCAACCGCAAACAAAAAAAGACAGAAAAGAAAAGAACTCATACACAGGAGCAGTGGCACTTCTTTGGAGCATGCCATGGGTAACTCGTCCGTGCCAGGGCTCTTGGTTCTGAGCTCTGGATTTCGGCGCGATGGATTTCCAGCGCCTGTCAAAGGGGCGCCGTGTACATAGGGCTGCCCAGGGTTGCCAGGGAAATGTGGAGTTTCATGCTGAAGTCTCGTGAAGCCAGCGGTGTTGAAGACTTTGCTTTTGGATCGCAAGGCTTTGTTTAGGGCGTAGTTGTCTTCATCTTCGAAGACCACTTCGCGGGTTTGGGAGAGAACCGCCATTTCGATCTCATCGCTAATTTTTTTGGGTCACTATGGTCGCTTTCAAGCCATGGCATCCTCGTGTGGCGCCCTGCACCCAAAAAAACACTCCAGTCTCACCTAGGGGCGCGTGGAAAGGCGTGCCGAGGAAAAAAGGAGGCAGTGGGGGGTTGCAAGGCAGTCATCTTCGCAAGCATGTTTTGCCTGGACGATCTTATTGAACCATTGCGTGCAGATTTTGATTTTAGACATGAGGGATGTTCTTTGTGCATATGCCAAATGCTCAAATCAGGTGTTGTGAGGAGGTGCACGCTCGACATCTCAGGAGTCCTTTGAAGATTGGCAGCGGCGTATCGCCTGGCAACTGTGTTGGGCTTTATCAGGTGCACCTTTTCGATGATCCCAACAAAATCGAAGGCTCCATCAACGCAAAGTTCGAGCCGTGGAACAGGTGGAACCTTCCTTGAGCATGTGGCCGTCTCCGATTGGACCCGTCTCAGGTTTATGCCAGCGGACCAGAAACCGCGCTCAACGGCGTGCACTTTTTACTTGCAACCCTGCATAGCACGCCCAGACCACTTCTTCGCCCTGGCACTGCGCGCACGCCTGACCATGGTAAGCTCACCCGCTTGACTGCTTCGTTAATTATAGCGCGCCTGACCATGGTAAGTGCTTCGTTATAACACTGCGCGCACGCCTGACCATGGTAAGCACACCCGCCCGACTGCTTCGTTATAACACTGCGTGCATGCCTGACCATGGTAAGCACGCCCGCCCGACCGCACCTGCCCGACTGCTGCGTTATAGCACTGAGCGCACGCCTGACCATGGTAAGCACACCCGCGTGACTGCTTCGCTATAACACCGCGGGCGCGCTGACCATGCTAAGCACGCCCGCGCCTCTTCTTCCGGGCACGATAGACTCTACCTGGTCAAGCTGCAAAGCATATGTCGCTGCCTTCGTGCAGCCCCCATCTCCTCTTGCATGTAAAGTCTTGGCAGTGGCGCTATGTCTTGCGCCAGCGAGATGTGGAGCAGCAAACTGTCGCTGCGATCGCAAAGATTTGAAACAGGAGAAGGAATGGGCGATACAATTTGCGTTTTGCCTCTGCGAAACGCAAAACGCCTCTAAAACTGAGCCTTCCTTTTGGGAGGATTTTTGGGGGGCTCAATGAGCGTTTCGCTGAAGTGAACCGCAAGTTTTTTCAGAAAAGCGGCAAAAGGCGAGCGCGGATTTCGGTCCACCGATGGGTTTATGTAGCGTTTGGAGTGCAGTGGAAGTGACTACCTGCTCCCACCAACAGAAGGCATTTGTGGGAGGGTACCTGGAAGTTCAATTCCTTTTCAGGGGACCCTCTGTCAGGTGCCAAGGTAATGTGGAGGGTAAGTGCTGAACCAAGCCTTGGGTTTGAGCCCTGGGAAAGATCTCGGCTGAGTGCCTTGCCCCAAGGCCTCAAATTCGGGAGACAGCTACGTTTGAAGGACCTATGCTGGCGTACACACAGATGAAGAAGACCAGGGACTGATGCCAAGTTCTGAAGCTGTCACGTGCACGGTTGGGGCTTGCATAATCGCGGGAAGCTCGCCTGACACCCTTCCAACTTTCTGTGACACCAAGAGATGAAATCCCACTTTGGTATCACAGAACGCATGCTCCAAACAAGCCGAGCGTGCCTTTTGGAGGCAGCCCCGTTTGGTTGGCGAAAAAACGTGAGCGTATTCAGGGTCCATCGCCAGGCTCTATCAGCTAACCGCCAAGTGAGCTCCTGGGTCTAAGATTGAGCCCTGGCCATTTCTTTTTCATGGGCGAAGAGGTGTTTTCCATTGGCACACCAACTGGACGCATGGGGGTTTTCATTGAAACAAGCTTGGAGAAAGAGATGTTTTCCCCCAAGCAAAAATGCGCCGAAGGAGAGGTTTTCATTGACAAAAGGAGATAGAGATGTTTTCTCCCAAGAGGAATGCAGAGAGAGGGGTTGCCCTCTGCGCTTTTTCGCCGCAAAGAAGTACCGCCGGGGCCGTTTTTCTTCGGCCGTCGGCTAGGCCCCGGCCACGCGCCTGGGGCTGCTGGGACTGTCCGCGCTGGCGCTGCTGGCGGCCAGTCGAGGCTTGGAGGGGTGGCTTTGGTCCTCGGGAAAGACGGGTGGCTCGTCTTCTTTGGGGTTGGCGCCGCCCTTATTTGGTGGTTTTCAATTGAAAACCATCCATTTTCTTGGGGGGTCAAGCCTTGAAAAAGACACAGTCACATGGGTCTGCCTCTCACGGCGAAGCTAACCAGACAGGGCTCGTCAGGTTTAGACTTCGCCGCACTCTCAATGGAATTGGACAAATCAGAGAGTTCTCTGGGTTTGTGGGAATTTGGACAGTTCCATATGGAACATAGACAACAGGAACATAGACCCAACCTTATGTGAGTGATGTCCAAACATTCTAGCGTACTGTGGATGGACGAAATCCGTTCGCACCACTTTGAAACTATGGGAGACCATTGTTTGTTGATTTTTACAGGGGCATCATCATTCCAGGGTTTCTCAGGTGGTGCAGGATTTCGACCATCCACAGCAGGGGAGGCCTAAACATGGTCGGTCTCCTATTGAAGCCAGCTTCGGAATATGGATTTGTTGGGTTTTTGCAGCTGTCTGAGGAGTGTCCTGAAATGGAGGAGCTAGGGGGCTCGCTATTTGAGGAGACACACACACACACACACGTTGTTCTCTTGCATTTCTGCTTTTGGGGTGGCAGGGATGGCAGGGGTGGCAGGGTATTGCTTTGTTATTTGCCTTCAGGTTATCTTAAGCCTCACCCAAATGGATGGAACATTGCCGGAGTGCCTTAGGGCTCGGCTTTCCATACTTGCGATTGGTTGTGATCGGCCACAGTGAGGGGTTTGGCGTGTGATTTGGCCATGTCTTTTGACAATCACATTCACGCACCTTTGTAACGTGCCGTACGGTTCGACATGTTTGCGTATTTCGATTGCTCAAGCCACACATGAATCCCGTCTTTACTTGGCCCTTGTGGAAGAGCAGTCGTCTTTTTGGCGCATGTTTGCAAGTGTTTTCTAGCGCCGAATCGGGTTTAAGCATTGTTTCAGTTCCATTTGTTTTTTCATCGGTGTGAGCAGATGCAATGCCGCCCCCCTCGGCCGCGAAAGAGCCGATCCGAGCAAACAGGAGATATTCAAGCAACAGCGAGGCCAGAAAACAAATCCTGACGCTGGCACGTGCTCTAGTGAAAGGGAGTTTTTATCCACGGAGACGAATGAAATCCTGAACATGCAAATCTCCGCTTTGGGATGCCGTCTTGAACATGGGACGCCCGCGGACCACGTGCACTCTGCAGACTTGATGTGGTGCGGCGTTAGATTTGTCCCGACCAAGTGCATAAGTGCATGTCAGGTAGTTTGAAAGGGCAGTCTGGTTCTATGGAGAACATCGCGTAAGGTTTGATGACAAGTCCCTAGACTCACGTAGGAATTGTAATGGGGTCCCGTTGGTGGACATCAGACAAAACATGGGGGGTTTATGTCTACTATCCATTTTGGAAGGGTTCGAACACTGAAGCATCATATCCATATCCTTCCTGAGGACGCGGCAAGACTTTGTCGCGCGCTGGGGACCCAAGCGGTGTCATTGCAGAAGCGCCGAGCAAGGGCGGCTAAAGACAAACCAATAGGGTTCCCGGGTTTCCTGTGCATAGCTGTGCTTTCTAGGAAAAATGGATGGCACTGGTTTAGATGGGTTTCAGTCCATTTGCTGGGATCATCTATGGTAGCAAACGGCCACCTATGTTCCGGTGTGTTTCCCTTCATCTCTAAGCCTGGACACCAGCGATGAGCATGAGGAACAATGATACTAATGTTAACCCTGGATTGAAAAACCCCTGGTTGATGAATAGGGGTGTGTCCCCTTTTTAGTGGGGATTCATCCCTTTTGAGGGAACACTCCCCAAATAGTGGGACGGGTGTATTAATCCTGGGTCAACATTAACATGAAGCAACCAATTGATGCATGTATAGTATCGGAATCAGATCAAGCACGAAACATGGACGCCAGCCCTCAACGGGTGTTGGTGAAAGCTAAGATAGCCTTTTTTTTTGGTACCCCTGCCTTTTGTTTGGTTAAACTAAGCGAGAATCTGGGGGGCATCTGGGGGGCTTGCGGGGGCTACCCGCATTTTGACCCGCAATCCAAGGTCCCAACCATGTAGTCCTGGGTAAGTGCCCTTTCAAAATGCCACTGAAGCTCTTAAATACATGAGATACATAACGCCCATGATAGTTTCCACATTTCCCGCCAAAAAAAACAAGGGTACCCCCTGCACGTGACGTTTGTGCCCTGGACTCCACGTGGGTTTTGGTCGAATCGATTCGAGGTCATCATGCAGGTCCGGAAGCCCACGCGCTGGGCGAAGCGCCCCTGCCGTGCTTGGATTCGGTCCGTCGGAGCCCACAAACCGGAGCCCGTCGTTTGTAGGATTGGACCCCTCAAACCGGTGATCTTCTTCTTTGGGTTTCGCTTTAAAACCACCAAACAAGGTACACGCAAAAAGACACCCATTTGTTGGGTTGCTTTGGATACTGGATCCATGGTTTGCAGGCAACATATGGCCAGTATGAGATGGCATGCAACATTGAGATGCATTGCTTGGATAGCATTTTGAGGTCTTGTTTGTTTGGCGAGGGGCCAACTCGTTTGGGAGGTAAGGGGAGGTAAGGACACCCAGCGGCAACCGATGCAAATTCCAGTCATCCTCTTCGTTCCAGTATAGAGTTGGGCTTCTCTACGCCTGTCTCGAACAGCTTCAAGTTGTCAGCAGCGCCTAAACCCCCCATTGGCCAAAATTTCGTGGGTGTTCCTACTACCTGGTTTCGTGGGGGTTGTGGGAAGGCCCAACAACTCCATTATAAACACATTGGTTACCTGGTTGAACCAGAAGTGAATGGGTTTGGGGCTCTTTTGGGTTGGCTAAACCTTGAGGAACTCGCCGCGCTCAAAGGCACCCACTGGGTCAGGAAGTCCCTGACGTCGTGTATGAGTTGATTTCTGGAATCCAGACACTGCTGGATTCCAATTCAACTGTGGACATGTTTCGGGGAAAAGGCACCAGGGTCTCCAGGTCTCCGTATCTTTGATAGATTGCTGCATTTACTTTGAGAGGAGGTGGGTAGCCCCTCCAACTTGTGTTGACACTTGTGGCAGATGGGTGTTTTGCGAGCGCAGCAATGATATCAGACACCACCAAGCAAGTTGCCTGTGTTACTTGGCTTACGTCTTAGACTAGTACAAGCTCACCATCCAGTCAAACGTGTACACATTCTAGGGCACTATTGCAGTGCCTCGCAGCTTTCGACGCACACAAGATGCAGAGCTGTGACATGTTTTGACACGTGCTACACCACAATTTGCACTCAGTAAGCCCAACGCCATTGTTTTGTTAGATATTTGGCTAAGTTCCTGCAGAACTTCCAGCAGCTGGTTTGTGTGTCGCATTTCTTTCCAGATCTCGGCAAGCTCTGCTCAAGCCAGGCCGGCTGCCAAGGGTATGAAACCCATGATCCACCGCAAGGAGACGAGGCCAGCGGGGTGGGATTGGAGAGCTCGATTCGGAGAGCCCCAAGATGAGTTAGCTTGGGTGCCCATTCTTTGGCATCCACGAGCGTCAGTTTCCGAGACATGGACCAAACGCGCGAAGCTTTTTGGCCAACAACTCATGTGTACTGCGCCCCAAATCACGGCCACGAAGCACGCTTTGATCTTTCGAACAGCAGTGCTGGTAGTCTCTTTCCGGTCATTTGAACACCGGCCGCAGGGCAAATATGGAACCTCACCGGAAATCCCTTGATGCACTTTCCCTTCCTTTCAAGATGACCTTGTGGTTCTGGCTTGATCTTTGCCATCAGCGAGTATGTACTCGAGAATCGTGGCCAAGTTGAATGGATGCTGTAGATTAAGCTTCTTCCTAGAATTGGTTGCGGTGCCAGGGCAAAATCGAGCTCATGTTTGGTGGACATGGCAAACATCTTTACAATGCTCCAGTTAACGCAGATTCAGAAAGCTCACCGCCAACAACAACCCAGGTGGCACTCGGGGGCAGAAGGTGCACGACTCAAACTTTTGGCCGCTTCTTGTCACTTTTTGGCGGCACTGAAGCTCCTGAACGGTCGTTTCTGATTGCTTCCTGTCCAGGAATCTAGTTTGCTTCAGCATGTGTTGAAGTGCCCTTCCGCATGTGGGGCTCCCTCGTGTCAACAACCTGGCGTGTCATGTTGGAGTCACGGTAGGCGACATCCGCCCTCGAGCGCCCCATGGCCCGGTTTTCAACCAACAAGCACCAGTTGTGCGTGTTTAGGTGCGTGGCAGATCCCAGGGTCTCAGGGTTTTGTCTCAGTGCTGTTCCGGGGTGGTCCAAATATTGGAACGCACCACTGATTCAAGGGCAATTCCCGAAATATTTTTGCAGGTGTGGATGCTATACCACCAATATCGGCTTGCAACGCAGAATATGTATACATACATATATACATACATAATTGTATGTATACATGCATATTTGTATGTATATATATATATACACATAAATACTTGTATTAAACATATATACATTTATTATATATATATACATTTATTATATATATATATATAGAGTTCCCCAATCCATCCCAAAGTCCCTTGAAACGGGGCAAGTTCATCCCAGGGACGTCTTCAAGGATGGCTTCGAAGGCCTTGGATTCGAGTTCTGCAATCTCGGCTTTCCGAATTCAGATGATGGACCAATGCCGCGTGATGGACCAGTTGGTAGGCGGTTTATACCAGTAATGGGAACCCCGGCGTAATACCCGCCTGGTTGATTTTGATTGGGGGCTGTTCCCTTTGAGTGGGATTCCGGACCTCTTTTGTGGGTGACACATCTGGGGTCAACATCATTTATACTGTTTTGAAGCTTCACCCATCCCAACAGGTGGATTTTCTCCATCCACAGTCCCTGCCAAACTGCCTATCTGCCACAGGCCCTGCCCATAGATCTATGTGTACCCTATACAGCAGGTTAGGCAACACAAACTGAGCGGAAGATGCCTTGTGAACCTCATGCCCTGGTCAACGGAGCAGCTGGTTGAAACATGATTTCCGGATCATGCAGCAGAAGTCGTTTGTGAAGGCATGTTCTGATTTCCATTTTCGTATTCCCGCAGAGCCAAGTTCATGACACCCTCTTTCAAAGGCGCAGCGTGCTTCCTGCTACGTGGCGGAGGTTCTGCAATTGGCAGGGACTAATTAGGTCATGCTGGATTAACATGATCCATGTGGATAAAACTGACTCAAGGCCCATGGAAGGCGTTGAAGCATGTGATTTGCTTGCAGAATGCGATTTGGTCGTGCCGAGCTAAGGCGGCTCATTGGATCAGGATATGATTGTGTCTTGTTTTGAGGGTGCCCACTTTTTTTCAATGGCTTTCATCTTTTGGCGGGTTTTCTTCACGCAGACACACCCATAGGAGTGAGTGGATATGGTTGCGTAATGTATTTTTTTGGCACTGCCTTTCCGCTTTTGGAACCGGTGCTCACGAATGCCCGTTGAAGTCATGGACACACTCCTAAACTCCGGGGGGCTATCCCTGGATAAGCCCAGGACAAGCCAAGCAAAGCATAAGCCTTTAATAAGGCCTTAATTAAGTGATTATTAAGAGAGCCCCCCGTCCCCATAGCCCCCCCTCACAAATCAGCATTCGTACGTCAAGGTCTAGAAGAGTAGACCAGATGAGCAATTGACAAGATCTTGACAAGATCTTCACTGTTTACAGTTGATGTGGGGAGCGCGACCGCCAATTTTTCGCGATTTTCTCACAAAAGCAGGGGGGGAACAGGTCAAGTGAACCGCAGGAAGCGATATTTGGCTCTCCAGCCTTGCCTGTCCCACCCAGTCACGACATATTTCCCAACTTGGGAAGAGCAGGCTGGGTGAAGCACAAGGACAAGAACTTGGCGTTCATGGAGAAGGCCTTGAGATGCTGCGATGGACATGAGAGATGCGCAGTCTCAATCCGGTTACGACACTCGAGTATTGTAGCCATATGTGATTGACGGGGTGCCCTTTGCTGCGAATGGGCATTATGTCTTTTCCGCGAGCATGAGGTTTGCGTTTTTTGTTTCAGGATTGCCGGCACGTTGCATGCGGCCTTGTCATGAATCGCTGGCACCATTGCAACCCAGCAGGCAGCGGAAGCTCGTAGCCGCAGTATCCCTCTTCAAAATGCCTCCTACTATCTCAGCAAGTGAAGATCAACTGAGTTAGGCCGCGCTAGGACAGGCAGCATTGGGTACATTTGGTCTCCGCAGTAACACGCTCCCTCCCGCTAACGATCGCACCAAGCGACCTCCATGATCATGGCTCCTCGAACAGCCGTCGCTTGATCCCTAAAGTGAGCACTGGATGCGGAATTTCGCGCCTTGGGATTTGGAGCGGATCTGAATGCAAATAGTTCAATCTTGTTTACTGGAAACGCGACTTGGGCCCCGGTTGAAAGGCCAAGGCTGCCGCTGGGAGAGACCTGTTGGAAGAGATACAATGCGTCAGCAGTTGCTCTACCAAGCGTCTACAACATGAATGCCCAAGAGGTTCCTGCGGTAGTACGGGCTCGAGGGATTCTAATGCAGAATCGAAGAGGAGGCAATTTGAGACAGATAGACAGACGCACACACACACACACAGCCGTGGACAAAACGACACAACTAAAACTGAGGCACTTCCGAGGAGAAGCATTCTGTCATTTCATTGCCAGCCCTCCCCCTTAGCATTGCTGTTCCAGTTGCCAGCGATCTTAGCGCTTAGAGTGAGCTCTTCCACCCCACCTTCGCCGCTTTTCCGGGACTCTGCGAGGTGGTTCGACAGCAGCTGCACGGGCGGGTGCAGTTCCAGTTCGC